GATTATCATAGTGCTTTAAGAATATTTTTATAAATTCTTTATAAGCGGTGTTGGTATGCCCACGGTTTCATTCTTAATAAATTCTGTCCCACCTTACTGCCGATAGTGAGTTTTTAAACTGTTGAATAGTACAATTAATAATTTTTTGTTTATAGATTTTGATTTTAGAGTTATTTCTTTTGTATCTTGAAAACAAGAAAAGTATATCGGAAAGTGATAGGATATATCCGTTTTGATTACACATGCTTTTAATGAAGAATCAAAAAATAAATTAGTCAATATGTTGTCTATTGCAGTGATAGAATTTAATGTTACCCGGGTTTGTTTGTTTATTATAGGAAAGATGTAGTTTATTTCCACAACCTTTGTTTTACAACATAATTTTTTTCGTTCTACCGACGTTTAGTTGTACAAAAGACTAGTTTATGATAAGTGCAAGCTTCAAAATAAAGATTTATAAGTTTTTAATTTAAGCAAAGCAGTAGGCTTTTAATAGTTTTTCCAAATTATTCTTTTTGACTGCGTAGCCAACCCAAACCCATTATGCTTGAATTTATATTCCACTAAGCCTGTCCTTATTTTAGTTAGTCGATAAATAAACACTCCTATGCAAGTCTTTGACCTACAATGTTACCATTCTTCTTAATTGGCTTTTCAAAATTATTCCCTTTTTCATGTTTTAGGCGTCAAAACTCCATTTTAAAACAAATATTTTTTGAAATTAGTGCTAAAATAACATTTCAAGAGGTTTCTTTTCGAAGCTATTTCTTTTTAGAAATAGGTAAGCTTATGGTCTGGCCATAAGAGGACAAGAGAAAGGAAAGGAGGAAAGATAGGCTGTAAAACTGGTTTTCTATAGTCATGAAATAAATTGTATGATAAAAAGTAAAATTTATCTTATATAGGGGAGACTAGGGTTGGTTGGCTCGGTTTTTACTCTATGAGCTCTGTAGCCTTAGCAGCACATTTTTTTGAAAATTAAAGTGTATTCTAAAAGAAAATGAATTTGGGTAACTTATAAAATTTGCATTCATTTACAAAACAAAATTCTTGGGGCCTTCCCGGGCCCTCAAAAAAAAAAAGTTGCGCTAAATTACCCCACCAAGGGGTAAGTTAGCGCAAACTATAAAATATGACTATTTAAGTACTATTGAGTGCAAAACTAATAGAAAATTTTTTAATACTAATTTTGGCAACAAATTTAAGCCAAAAATTTAATATTTCTTTTGCTGGTACCAAATGTTAGTGTGTATAACAGTCAAACTAGTAGCCCACTTTTTATCTGTGAAAAAAAACCTAAAAATTTTTTTTTTTACATTTTTTTGTTAAAATAAATTTTTTCAATATTGTTAAAAATTAAAAAAAAAAAAATCAATTTTATAAAATCTTTTCTTTTTTTCCATAGTAAATGCTATTAACTATGGAAAAAGCCAACTTACCCGTAAAAATTTTGCCAACTTACCCCGAAAGCCTTTTTTTCAATAAGATTTTTTACAATAATTTTTTTTTGATACGACTAACTATTTTCTTTGTAAAGTAAAAAAGAAGCAATGTTCCAAAAGATACGTTTTTGTCCAAAAAACACATAAATCTTAATATCTCCCATGCGCATGCGCGAATCCTAATAATACTATAGTGAATGATAAAATGGTCAATTAGGAAGATTCTAAGTAATTTTTGTCACTTTCCGATGAAATGCTCTGAAGATAAACGCAGTTTGTCAACTTACCCCTGCGGCCAACTAGCCCTGGTCTCCCCTTATATATATTTAATTATACTTTTTGAACGAGTATATCTAAATTTAATGATTTTTTACAATAAAGCTACTATTTTATGATTAACTAAGCCATTATGTTTGTATTTAGTTTAGTTGAAGATTTAATTTTAACAGTTAAAAGACAATCTTATGCATGGTAATTGTGTTGGTAAATCCATGATTTTATTTTTTATCAAGAAAAATGGAAATTAAAATACACAGCCTTTGGTATATATGCATATATACCAAACTAAAAAAAACTAATGAGTCAGAGAGGTGCTGATTTCAGGGACCTATTTAGCTCCCTGCATAGATCCAAATATTTTTTAAAGATTAGTTTTATGATTTATTACTTTAACTTTTCCTGAATGGTATAGTTAACAATTAACAATGAATGGTATAAAAACAATTCTAAAAAGGTACGACACAACCATGTAACTTCATCAAACTAAAATCTGGTTTAGCATGGCATTGTATGTAATAATAATTAGATAAAATTTTAAGAAAATTTTTACTAAATATTGTTGCAGTCAATAACTGTGTATTTCTTACAGTTATTGAAGTATTAATGTATTTATATATTTACATGGCAAAACATGACAGCAAAACTAAAAATAACATTAAAAAATGTCCATTATGTAAATCCACATTTTTTTTCATTACACTCGAACTTCAAAGGAATTTTTTTTTTAATTTGATTGCATTGTTGTTTGAAATATTTTTGATTTTGTAATAGCACCATTTTGCTCAAATCAAGGCAATCGGTTTCCTATATTGGAAGACTTTGATTTCATAAGCGGAGCTGCATGCTTCTTTTAAGAAATACCTAGTAAATTCGATCATTTTTAAAAATTTCTTTGTTTTAGGTGCCCTTACGGAGTTAGGGGCTGTCCATTAACTATGTCAACAAAATAGGGGTGATCGGCTGGAAATTTTTGAGAGTTTTTGACAAGGGGGAAGGATAGGTCAAGAAAAGAAGATGTCAACAATGTTACTTTGATAAATAAATTTAGTTACTCCGTTACTAGACATGCATACTTACTTAGTGACTAGTCATGCATGCTGGCCGAATAAAAAGGTATTAAAACGAGACTATTACATACTAGTCGAGGTAAAATTGCCGAAAAATTGTTGACGTAATTAATGGACAGCGCCTTATAAGGTCATCTAAAAACATTATAGAATAGTGTGGAAGTGCATTTAACTAGGAAGTTCACGTTTCCTTTTTTAGCAATGACGCAAAATATTTTCAGAGCGTCCTTTAAACTCTTGCTTTTAAATCTGCGCATTAAATACTACGCTACGGCCGCTTTAAAAATTAACTAAAAATTATTTTTTACCTTGATAGATTCAATTTAAAAAATTATTTAAAACGTATAATCGAATTAAAATTGCCGAGGGAAAATTAAATTCCTGAAATAATAAATTGTACAAAGGCTTAAACTATTATGACACTCTTTAATTTTATTAATTAAAAATCACTAAATAAAGTTTTAATTTTTGATATTTATGATTGTATTTATTTATCTTTTAATTCAGCCTGAACTATATTTTCAACCTTTGATTTTATCATTGACTAAGTAAGGAAAATTTATTGTTCCAATCAAAAAAAAATTTGGACTTCTTTGTTATACCATCATGCAATAGAATGCTTGCATTAACTTTTAGATAAGTTTATGTTATTAGCTGCATTTTACATTAAACACAACAAACCTTGTAACCTACAAAAGTATAGTTTACCAGGTGCAATCAATAATGTGAACGAAATTAGATAATTTAAGCAAAATGACGTAAAAAAAAATTAAATTGAAGATGCTCGTGTATTTCTTGAAGGATAGCTTTCAAAATCTCTCAAAACGTAGAAACTAAGACATTTTATCAGAAAAATGTTAAGAGACATTTTCCCAAATAACCGCAACTGTTATTTTATTTTCAAATTAAAAGTAATAATTTTTATTTCCAAATAAATGCAATTAGAGCGCTGTTCCAATTTTGGCTACTCTCCGCTTCTACTTACGTTTACAACTAGTACCTTAAGTACAATGGCTGAGCATTTAGAAAATAAATCCTATAAAAAGTTAAAAAAACTCATTGTTTTACAACAGTTCAAAGTTTGCAATTCAAACAAGACTGACTACAGTTGTTCTGAATTTTTTAAATGTTGTTTTTTGCGTTTTTCTCTGAACTTTATTTTGCGGGCATACACAGGTTTTACCATGTTTTACTCTTAAACTAGTCAGGTAAAGTTCGTAAAATCTTTCTTAACTGTGTATTTTCTATTGTATATTTTATTAGGCGAGTCAAAATTTTTGTATTTTAATTTAATTGCATTAGTTTAGAAAAAAACGAACATCTTTCCAAACTGTACCTTCTTACTTTGAAATTACAAAAAAATGCTTCGCTCAATTCCCTCTGGTTACAAATTTATTAGATATAGTCTTTTTCACTGATATTATGATAAGACAAAAAATATCACTTTAATAAAAAAAAGTTGTTTTTTTAAACAAGAAATTGAAATATACCAAATACATTGAAATATACCAAATACTGTATAACAAGTTTATATAATCAGTTATATAGATTCATATTGCGCATATGGGCAAAAGCGGTAATATTTGTGATTTAATATGTAATTTTTTCATGTTACTAAGTTACTTCATCGTTCTATTCAAATTGAATAGAGTTGCGAAATTCTTTTTAATTTTATGAGTTTGAATGAAATGAGTTTTTTGCTGTGGAAGAAAAAAGTGAGTAAAAAAAACCTCTTTAAATAATAAGTGAATATAATAAGAAAGAATATAAGTTTGAAAAAATAGCATAAATACTGAGTGGATTCTAAGCAATTATATGTTTTTGAAGAGGGATTTAAATAAAGAATTTATATTCAATTAAGTAAATGAATAATAATTTAAAGAAACTAATATTTTATCGCGTTTAAATTTTGCGATTTTTTTGCATCTAACCTATAAAACCTAGAAAAAAACGTTGTTCCTATTGTCTTTTTTGATTTAGTTTGCGATATTATTAACTTCTTAATCAAAATGATATAAAAATATTATTCGAATAGCAAATTCACTGACTAGCCGCGAATCCACTTATTCTAACAATAATTTCCCATAATAATAATAATAATAATAATAATAATAATAATAATAATAAGGATATATATCTGCTTTTTTGCTGCAATTTTTTTGCGTTTTTGCGGCAATTTTGCTTTTTTGCTGCATTTTGTTTGCGTTTTTGCTGCAAATGCGTTTTTGCTGCTAAATTATTTGCGTTTTTGCTGCGTTTTTGCGTTTTTGCTTCAATTTTATCTGCGTATTTGTTGCAATTAAAATATCTAAAAGTGGGTCAGTAAATTTTATAACAGACGTAAGTTGAGCGCCATTTGCAAAAAGCTACGCGTTAAAATCTTTTTCATAAAGACTGTAAATATAAAAAACAATTTAACAATGAGTGTAGTTGTGAAACGTTATGAAAAGGTACAAATCTTTTACTTCGAAATTTGCATGGCATGGTACTATTTGCATGGAACATGCCATGGTTTATGGAAAATAATCTTTTAAGATATCTTAGCATCTAGATAGCATTTAGAGCCTATCTAGATAGGCTCTAAATTTAAAATAACATTCTTGAATACAAGTAGTCAAGAATATTATTTAAAATTTAGAGCATATAAACATAAGCATAAAAAGGGGGTTCATGGCACTTAGGGAAAATCTGGAAATTTTTGAAAATCATAAAATAAGTTTAATAAAAATTTTTTAGCTTGAAGTTATTTTGCAATATCCAAGGTTTGAATCTTTAGTAATATTGAAAGTTGCTTACTGCAGTTGTTTTATAAATTTTATTATATATAGTATCTATATCTAGTTATAAAGGGATTACTTTAGTAAACATATGTTGTGGCAATACGAATTCAGTTGGAACAGTATTATAATCTTCAACATTACCAGTCAAAAATTTATACTTTTTGCCGTACAAACTCTAGGAAAAAGAGCTTAAAAATGAGGGAAATTTAGGGATTGCTCAGGAAAAATAGATTTTCAAAACTGTTATGAACACTAATAAATCTTGAATTTTATTTTATCAAATACATTTTGTACTTTCAACTTGGTAGCAGTGTCTAAAAAATAATAATTTTTATATACATAAATTCAAAAACAATTACATACTGAGTTTAGGTTTTACATTTACTTGCTAAAATTTTTTTTTATTATTAAGGTTATTGTTCAAATCACAGACATCTATAGTTCATAAAAGTTCTAAATGTTTTTTTATTAATTATAATTTTTGTGATTTTTTAGTACTTCTTTATGCCAACAAAAAATTTTTTATTCAATCAGTTTTGCCTTGCAAAGTTTATTTTGAAGTATACAAATATGCAAAGATTTTATAACAGATAATTATTATTTTGTATTTTATATACTGCCTTTGTTAAGAAACGAAATAAAATTATAAACATAATTGTATTGAATTTTTTGACAAAAGCATTTAAATTATAAAACATAATTTTTATGAACTCTCAAATAGTAAACTCTTTTGTGTTAATTTTTGTTTTCTTAAAAAATTGATGCTTAGGATTTGCAATTAATATTTTTTTAAAGGTTTTTGTCTATTTTTAGCAAAGCTTTTTTACTTTTGTTTTACTTAAGTTTTACTTTTGTTTTATTACGATGCCAAAACACATGATCAGTTTAATTTCTAAATCTGAATGACTCCTCATTTTTATAGTCTTCTCAAGCTCTATACAAATTTTATTAATTATATAAATACAAATTTTATTAATTTTTTTTTTGTTTAGGTGTTTAACTACATAGTCAGAAGTTTAAAAAATAACTCCAGTCAGTTGTCTAGCAGGGCCACAGGACAAAATAAGCCCTATATTTTTATTATATATTATGGGATCATATATTTACTTTTCCCACTACAGGTTGCTTCAGCTTTTCACAACTGCTGGGTGTTGTGCATTATAATAAAAAGATGTAGTTTAGCAGGGTGATGGGCAAATATAAGTCATATATTTTAGCATTATCTTATAAGATTATAAATTTACTTTTTCGTCTACAGGTTGCTTCTGCTTTTTACTACTGCTTAGTGTAGTGCATTATAATGAAATGAGTTGTTAATATAAAATTTTGTATGTGTTATCAGACAAATGACGGATGCGCATTTGTTTAAATATGTGTGTACTTTGGTATAATAATGGTATCATATTTTGTAACATTTTTTTTTGTTTGTGTTTTTAAATATGTGTATACTTTGGTATAATAATGGTATCATATTTTATAACATTTTTTTATTGTTTGTGTTTTTAAATATATGTGTGTACTTTGGTATATTAATGGTATCATATTTTGTAACATTTTTTTTTACATACATATTATTTGTTTTTCTTTATTTGGTATAAAAATGGTTTAATATTTTAGCGAAGGACACAGTCATCTCTTGATCAAAAAATTACTGATGCCTGTAAAGATGAAAGCATAAACTTTAAAAAAATTTTTATTAATGGAGAGATAGGTTTGTTAATATCTTATTTAGTTTACGATGTTGACAGGATCTATTCTAGATCCGCTTCGACAGCATTGAACATATTTGGTGCAGATTTTGGCACCATCCAAATTATTTTCCTAGAATAGCCCCTAGATTATAATTATCAGGAAGGTGATGATGATGATGATGATGATGATGATGATGATGATGATGATGATGATGATGATGATGATGATGATGATGATGAT